AATCCAATGGCTACGCCTATCAAACTAAGGCTTGCAATAATGCAACTCTACTGCCGCTGCTGCTGTTGCTTCTACTACTACTACCTACTACTACTACTACTACTACTACTACTACTACTACTACTGCATCTACTATTTATTATCTGCTATCTATTATCTACTATCTACTACCTACTACTACCTACTACCTACTACCAACTACCTACTACCTCTACTACTACTACTACTACTACTACTACTACTACTACTGCCTACTGCCTACTGCCTACTACCTACTACCTACTACCTACTACCTACTACCTACTAGCTACTACCTACTACCTACTACCTACTACCTACTACGTACTACCTACTACCTACTACCTGCCGCCTACTACCTGCCGCCTACTGCCTACTGCCTGCTACCTAGTTCTTCTTCGACGACGATGACTACTACTGCTACTACTGCCGGCATCACTACTGCTGGAGTGACATTAAGAAGAGTTGAGCGTTGAGGTTTGTTGCGATTTGCCTGCCTGGCCCCATCCAGGAGTCGCATAACTCCAACTCCGGTCCAGTCGGGTCGCATCGAATTTATGGTCGGGCTTAGGCGAAGCCTTCGGACATGTATTGCCCCAGATTTCAGTTCTCGGGTCTAAGGTGCTTAAGCTTAATTGTGAGGGGCCAAGATATTTCAAAGAAACATAAGATCGATAAAAACCACAGGTATGCAGATGACGCACATTTTGCGGACGGTGAAGACTGGAACTGCCCAGCGCAGACATGCACGGACCATTTTGGCCCTTGGATATGCATATCATGAAATTCTGCAGCCTGTGATGCAGAGCGAAGACCGTAAAAACCGGCAAGGTTGTGAAGATTCGCAGACAACCGAAGAACTTGTGGCAGCTCATGTAGGCGCTGGGGTTCAGTCAGTTTGGAGCCTGAACTCCTATGTATGCCCAAGAGCCCTGGAAGCCCGCAGAATAGAAAGTTCCCGATCCCAAAGGCCCCATGTACCTTTATAGTAGATACTTAGGCCTTAAAGGGGTCCCTATATAGGTACTTTAAGGCCTAAGTATGTACTATATGGGCACATGGAGCCTTAGGGGATAGCAGGAGCTGCGCCTGCTGCAGCACGTCGTTGAAAGAGCCGAGCGGGGCAACCCACAGTCCATCTGCGAGGCTTTGGGTCCCAATTTTGCTGGGGTGGCTCAATGGGGCTTGGAGTTTAGGGCCCCTACAGGGGTGTAGGGTGTGCGATTTTCAGCTCTACGCCCTAAGCCCTAAACCCTAAACCCGAAGCCCTAAACCCTAAACCCTAAACCCTAAACCCTAAACCCTAAACCTAAACTAAACCCCAAACCCTATCTTTCAGGGGTTGTGTGTTGACGTAGTCCCTTTATGCTTCCACGGGCCTCTCCGCCAGTTCAGACGGGGTTGAACTGAGTACCCAGGGGCTCCAGTGTAGTTCCTTTTTGGGTCTGTTATAGTTTTTTGGTAAGGAGTTATAGTATACTATCCAGAAAGGAACTACATAGGAGCCCTTGGGGAGCCTAGTGATTTAATGTAGGGGCGGGCTTGGGGCTTCAGGGTTTAGGGTTCAGGGCTTCAGGGTTTAGGGCTTAGGGCGTTTAGGATTTAGGGCTTCCGGGTTTGGGGTTTAGGGGCTTTAATAGTTACTTATACTTGATTGGGGTGTTAGGATTTAGGGTTCAGGGGCTTTCGCAGTTACCTATATATATATATATATATATGTTTTTTTTTTGGG